ACTTCGACAATTGCGGAACTAGTCAAATCTTACACCCATGCTCCATACTGACTCAGTCAGTATGTCTGGATGGAAAGGGTTCTAGTGTTTTACTTGTTAACTATGGAGTACCTCGGAGCTCTATCCGTGGCCCCATTTTGTTCTCTCTCTCTCTATATATATATNAGTTCAGCTAGTGACTCATAGGTGGCGCCAGTGTGGTGTACTCGCGACGATGCATCTGGGTCACGTGACAATTTGGAGCGCTCTGATTGGACTCTGCCGTACGCGTGACCTTGAAAGGAACCAAAAATTGCAGAATGAACCTCCATAAGAAAATACATGGGGTTTTGATCTAGAACTCCTATAGCCTATTTACTCACTAGAAAGAAATTTAGTACCGATGAATGGGTAATGGTCGAAACTGAGGCCTATTTTGAGGCTAAAGAATAATCTTACTATAAAAACGGTATCGAAAAATTGTATGATCGCTAGAATCATTGTATCGTACTCGAAGGCAACTATATTAAATAATAAAATCACTTTTTATCAAAAAATTGTTTTTTCTATGTTAGCCTACAATTTTTTCAGACCAGCGGTACATGTTTCGGTAGCGTTTTTTCCAGTTTGTGGCTAAAAGTATAACTTATGTGCATGATCTACACATCTTTTCATCTTCTTACAAATTTTATTTGGAACTTAATTACTTTCTACCTACCTTCGGAAGTTTTCCACGTTTTTTGTATAAAGATGGAGAAAGAAGTAGAATGTCAAAAAGTGTTTTTTTAAAAAGTGTCTAGATATTACTTTTTGAAGAATCAGTTGATATGTAGAAGTGTGTATCTACGAGTATTTCTTCCATTCATAGGATTATCAGAGTCGTAAAAAATAATAATTTATTTGTTAATCATCAGATATCTGAAACTCTCAAGAAAATCATTACATGATATTGAATGTAAATTGTCGATAAAAAAATTCACCACGTCGGGCAGCACCCTGTATACAAATTCTATGAAGACATACGAGTAGTTGATTGAGAGTTTCCGTGTCGAAGTTTGAGCAGATTTCAAATATGTCTGAGGAAAAAGAAGATAGATACAGTCAAAAATAGTGTAATGAATCTGAAGCCGGCCCTGACCGATATCTCAGCCAGCGAATAAACAAATGACATCACCCCAGTCGACAAAACGCGACTAGTTGAGTACCGAAACCACTAGAGAAATCTAGAACGCAATATATACTTATCCGACCGCGAAAGAATAGCACCTAAAGGTTGACTTTCGACCAAAAGAGGTCAGATGTCAATCTTGCTGAGGTGACCATCAGTAAGTTGAGGACCGCTCGGAGAGCGGGGGTGGATGGAGTGGGGTAGTAGGTTCTCCTCGCTAACTAGCTGGGGGGGGAAGCTTCTACTTCAGGGCACTCAACCCGGGAGGGGGCATGGGGGGGCGATATATAAGGCCTGTTTTTAAAATTTTGAATAAACGATTTTCATTCATTCATTCCAGAGAGTAGAGGGAGTTGAATTCAGAAAGCGAATCGAGCGGTTAAATAATTCAAATAGTGAAGATAAATTAAGCGTTAGTTGCTAGGTGTTGAATATAAATTAGTTTGTGATAGTGAAATATTGTTAGAAATAAATTTGTTTAGGACAGTAAATTCGTTAAATTGTTACAATTGGTGATCAGAAGTGGATTTATAGAATAAATCCGTGAGCGCATGGTGGACAATCTTTGTATTGCGGTAAAATCGACTAGTGATTCGTTGTGTTTCGCGAAGTGGACAGTACCGGACTACGGAAACATAAACTGAGTTGTGAAAATAAATAAGTGTTTCGGACTCGATTAAAATAGGTGGACATAGTCAGTTTAGTGGAAAATAGACAATAAGAGACAAAATGTGTTCATGGAAAGTGCGCCTAGTGGACTTGAAAGTTGCCGAATTGAAGCAAGAATTGGACGAGAGGGAGCTAGATTGTTCTGGAAAGAAATCAGTGCTCCAGAATAGACTATGGAATAACTTGACTGAACCAAGAGAAGGTCCCGAAACATACCGGTCAGGGTCATGAATGTCAACTACTTTCCCGTGACCTTAAAGAAAGGAACATTGCCGGGGCACTGTTCGTCCATTTCCTTTGTGATACGGAGTGTACGCAGTTCTGTTCTCCAAGCCAACAACTTACCTAAAGAGTTGGAGAAGTTGATTGACATTTCCTCCAGGGACATACCACCAACTCACTGAGCAAAACTGAAGGAGTTATTCAAGAAGTACCAGGAAATCATCGATATTGGAGAAGGGAAAGGCGGCAGAACGAATGTGGTTCAGCTTAGAATTGACACTGGGAATGATCTATCAATCCGGCAATCAGCTAGAAGACTCCCTCTTGCCAAGAAAGAAGAGGCAGACAAGATAGTCAGCGATATGGAAAAAGAAGGGGTCCTTCTGACAGCCCTTGGTCTTCCCCAGTCGTATTAGTGAAGAAGAAGGACGGCTCGACAAGATTCTGCGTAGATTATCGCCAGCTAAATAACGTGACGAAGAAAGACAGCTACCCTCTTCCAAGAATCGACGACACCCCAGACACGCTAGCCGGCTCCACGATGTTCTCAACTTTGGGGATTTGAAGAGTGGATATTGGCAAGTTGAATTGGCCCCAGAAGATCGAGAAAAGACTGCTTTCACCATCGGCTCAGGATTGTGGCAGTTCACGGTTATGCCATTTGGGCTTTATGCTCCAGCGACCTTCACGAGATTGATGAAGAAGGTTCTCATGGAAGACGTATCTAGTGTATTTCGACAATATAATCGTGGTCCGAAAATCGTTCGACGATCACTTGAAAACTCTGGAGGAGGTATTCATGCGTCTGAGGAGTTCTGGATTGAAACTTAGTCCCAAGAAATGCCATCTGTTCCAGAAAGATGTTCGTTACCTCGGCCACGTTGTCTCTGGGGAAGGAGTAGAAGTAGACGAACAAAAGATCAAAGCAGTTAAGGATTGGCTTATTCCAAAAGACATACATCAGCTTCGGAGCTTCCTTGGTTTGTGCACCTACTACCGCAGATATGTGCTGGGGTTTGCTAACATCGCCAAACCATTGACCCGACTCACAAAAGGGTAGATCCAGTTCCAGTGGTCTGAGGAATGCCAAGACTCGTTCAAGAAATTGAAAAGATCTTTGATCAACGCTCCTGTTTTGAGCTATCCCCTACTTGACGGAAAATTTATTCTAGATACGGACGCCAGCAACGTGGGACTTGGAGCAGTCTTCTCTCAGATCCAGGATGGACAGGAGAAAGTAATTGGCTACTTCAGCAAAACGCTCAGTAAACCAGAGCGCAATTATTGTGTCACCAGGCGAGAGCTGTTAGCCGTTGTCAAAGGCGTAGAGCATTTCTACAAATACATGTATGGAAGAAGATTTCTGTTGAGAACGGACCATGCAGCTCTCAAATGGCTTCTGCAGTTCAAAAATCCCGAGGGCCAAGTAGCGCGCTGGATTGAGAGACTTCAAGAATTTGACTTCGAAATAGAACATCGAGCTGGGACTAGCCATAAAAACGCATATGCCCTGTCACGGAGACCATGCCCCAATGACTGCTCACATTGCCGACGAGCAGAAGAGAAGGAAGCAGCTATTAGTAGAACTACAGCTGTAGACAACAACTGGGAAGACAATAAGATCATGGAAGATCAAGAGAAAGACCCAGATCTTGGTTTAGTCATCGGATGGAAGAAAAGTAATCAAAGACCATCGTGGCAGGAGATAGCAGGTTATTCGTCAGCGGTTAAGTCCTACTGGGCCCAATGGAACTCCCTTACCTTGGAAAACGGGGTTCTGAAGCGGGTGTTGGAGTCTGAAGACGGTAGAGAAGAAAGGCGCCAGACAGTGGTACCCAGAAACAGACGTCGGGAGGTGCTCAAAGAAATGCATGATGGAGTCACTGGAGGACATCTGGGAGTAATGAGGACCCTCCAGAAAGTAAGACAACGGTTTTACTGAGTTAATTGTCAAGCCGACGTCAAGGACTGGTGCTGCCAGTAACGGACCTCGGATACGACCGAAAGCTCCAATGCGCCATGGGAACCATGGAACCATGGAACCATGGGAACAAATACATCTTGATAGCCATGACTTACTTCAGTAAGTGGGCAGGAGCCTACGCCCTGCCCAACCAGGAAGACTTTACCGTCGCTGACGTTCTGGTAAAGGAATGCATATGTCGATTCGGTGTCCCATTGGAGCTGCATTCGGACCAGGGTAGAAATTTCGAGTCCAACTTGTTCCAAGAAATATGTAAACTGTTGGACATTCGAAAGACCAGAACCACAGCCTTACATCCACAGCCCGATGGAATGGTGGAACGAATAAATAAGACCATAAACAGCCACTTGTCCAAGGTACTCTCTGACCATCAAAGAGACTGGGACCAGTACCTCCACCTGTTCCTGTTGGCCTATCGTTCGGCAGTGCACGAGTCAACCGGCCAAACCCCTGCCAGTATTATAATGGGCCGAGAGCTGCGGCTTCTTTGCGATCTGAAATTGTGGGATGCGGGGAAAGACTGTCAGCAAGCTTCGACAGAGAATGGACGACATCCATAAACGAGTTCGTCTAAACATCCGGAGTGCCAGCGATAGGATGAAGAAGGCCTATGACATCAAAGCGAATGCTGGAGGATTCGAAACCGGTGATCTAGTTTGGCTGTAGAACCCTAAATGATGCCGTGGTTTATTACTGAAATTGCGGAACTCGTGGGAAGGTCCGTACAGAATCATGAAGATGATAAATGACCTCGTCTACCGAATCCATAAGCCACCTCGAGGAAAGCCTAGGGTCGTACATTTTAATAGACTGACTCCTTATGCTGGAAATCACGACCAAGTTCGCGCCCTCAGACCACCAGAAGATGAAATGACGTTCCAGAAATTCATGTCCTTATACTCGAACGGACAGAAGGTCGTACATGGGGTAACTCAAGAAGAGCCACGAGACCTTTTCAAGGTTCCAGTTAATTACGCACTAGCTCACTGCGTGGCAGAGGATCTCTAAATGTCCAGGGGCATCGCTGTGGTATTCAGCAAAAAATTCGGTCAGCTACAAAATAAGAGAACAGAATCCTGAAGTCGGAGGAGTACTACAGTTGAAAAAGGGTCAGAGAAACATTTTCTACTTGGTGACCAAAAATCATTCTCGAGGCAAACCGTCCTATGAAGATGTCTGGAGGAGTCTTACCAGACTTAGGGACACGATGCTCGCCCAGAATCTCGTGGACTTAGCAATACCGAAATTAGCCTCTGGGCTCGACAGGCTGGATTGGAGAATTGTGAAAAGCATGGAAACAATCTTCAGATCCAGCGGCATCAAGATTTTGATGTGCGGTAACCATCTTTCACGACCGAGCATGCAGACTGTGGAATGTTACTTCCATCGAACTTCACAGTGCAGATATGGGGAGTCCTGCAGGTATTTCGGGGCGAAACGTCTTTAAAAGAGGGCAATGTAACGAATCTGAAGCCGGCCCTGACCGATATTTCAGCTAGCGAATAAACACATGACATCACCCCAGGCGACAATCCGACGGTTGAGTTCTAGTTGAGTACCGAAACCACTAGAGAAATCTAGAACGATCGTTACGGATATATAAGGCCCGTTTCTCGTCCAGAGAGGGAGTCGAATTCAGAAAGCGAATCGAGCAGTTAAATAATTCAAATAGTGAAGATAAATTAAGCGTTAGTTGCTAAGTGCTGAATATAAATTAGTTTTTGATAATGAAATATTGTTAGAAATAAATTTGTTTAAGACAGTAAATTCGTTAAATTGTTACAATAGAATGTGGAGTTTTTTATTTCTTCCGTACATTTTCGAAACTGAAAAAAATATTTTTTATCTTTTACCATTTACGAGATTCGTATGCACAGACTCTGGATTTGAATAACTCTGTATAGAGCATGTATACGTATTTGCGTACAAATATAAGTGAAATGGAAAAACCAGAAAAAACTCGCAGATACTCCGCTAACCTTATATTGACCAGTACCGGTGTAGAATGTTATTATGTCTTCTTTAGATTTCTCCATTTGATCCCGGCTGTAGGGTATATATTTCAGTTTATTTTCTGTCATGTATATATCCAAGTATTTCCAATGTCCTTCTTTTTCTGGAGGTATCATGGGCTGTAGCGGTCTTCCTAAACCTGAAATCTTTGAAATGAATGAACAATAATTATTAATTTCCGCCAAAAATTTCAAGTGGATAACTTACATCACAAATAGCATAGAGAGCGGGTGCAACCACGTCTCGGATTTTGGGAGTGCGACTGCAAGGTTTATAAGCATCCTTCATTTCAGATATTTTTTGAGCAGTTGGAAGAGGTGGGTTTGTTTTCAGCTTAAATCATCATAAGGACATTAAAGTTTTTTACAAAAAAGATATTTGGATGACTTACCTTTTCTTGGATTGTTTGTATGTATTTGACGGAATCTACACCAGTGGCTCGTGGGTACTTATTTGTGTGTATATCCTGATTGATATCTGATGAGAAATCTCTCGTATAAGAACTCTTTATATCATCTTTGAGAGCAACATCTTTCACCACTAGTTCTCGCTTTATTTTAGCTTTCACTCGCTTAAAATATCATATTTTACTGAAAATCGGGAGTTGGTCACTACCTATATGTGGTCTTGAAAACAATTGACTCTAGGATAAGTGAATTATTATTAAAAATGTATATTGAAGGCTTTGACGATTAGAAATTTTCAATTATTATAGAAGGCGGCACTCTCAAAGGCCAAAAAAACTAATACATAGAAATGAACCGGCAGCGAACTAGCCCACGTGGATTGTAGACTTGGCGATTCGTATTGGATAATTTTTACTAACCGAGTTTTATGATTAGCTGAAAAGTCATAAAATTAAATTTGAAGTCATGTTACGGTGACGAATAAAAATCGGGAATGCGGGATGTTATCGCCGTCGTGTTATCAATTTTCAGTTAAGAAACTGATTGCGATTTGAGTGTTGCAATTCGATATTGGTGCAGTTATAATTATAGTCGAAGTAAATGATATTGTGCTTACTAAAGTTGACGGCACTTTCAAAGGCAAAAAAAACCAATACATAGAAATGAAACGGCTGCGAACTAGTTTAAGTGGACTGCAGAATTGGCGGTTCATATTGGATAATTTTTACTAACCGAGTTTTATGAATGGCTGAAGTGTCATAAAATTTCATTTGAAGTCATGTTACGGTTACGAATAGAAATAGGGGAATGCGGGGATGGTTATTGCCGTCTCTAGAATATTTATTCGAGCACTACCAAACTACCATCATTATTGGGGTGCATAAAAGAATATAGTCCACCTTCTTTGGGAGTGCGGCATGCCTACTGATAAAAGAATGACATCTATTCATTTTTAGAATTACCTTCAGCAAACCCTTTCATTTGATACCCAAATTATTGGGGTTCATAAACAATCTAGTCCGCCATCTCGAGCGGAGTGACGTCATATTATTTTTCGTATTTTTTCCAGCAAACCCATTCATTTGATACGCATATCATAAGGGTGCATAATAAAACTATCCGCTATTTCGGGCTGTCCACCAAATTGGACTTGAAGTGATGTTATGTTATTCTTCATATTCTTTTTAGCATATGGGCGCACATGAAAACTAATCTGTCCTTATGGTTCGTCCGCCATATTGGATTTAAAGTGACGTCATGTTATTTTTCGTATTGTTTTCAACAAACATTTTGAATTGATATCCATATCAATTGCTTCTTAAAATCCCAGTCCGCCATCTAGTCCATCGTATTAGATGTAGACTTATTCCCTTCGTTTTTTTTTAACAACTCCTTCCTAATCAATAATTACCTACAGTGAAAACAATCCCTATAAAGTATACAAGATACAATTTTGATACCCGACAGATACTTTTTCAGTGAAAAAGTAGAACTGAGGTAAGTAACGATTCAATTATTCCATAGGCACCGCCAAAGTTACGTTTTTCTGGGAGATATAAACACTATTTTCATATTTGTATTCTGAATGAATATTTTTTGTAATTTCAAGCAAGTTGACTGTGAGGACGAATGTTGTTACTGACAGTCGTTATTGAGACTTCGTGATACTATCCTTGCCCTCGCAGTCGAAGCGTTTGGTACTTCAGGTTCCATTTGACCACGGCCTATCACTCCTGATTTTGTTCTCCCTAATGGATGAACTCCAAACTTATTTTCGATGAATATATAGATTATGTAATTAATAAGAGTAGTAGAGCTCTGGGATATGTCACGAGAAAATGTAACTTCTTCTATCAAATAAAATCAATAACATCTCTTCATAATGCATTTGCTTTGAGTAAGTTATTGTTTGCATCAACCATTTGGAGTCCACAATATAATATAGATTAGAACGTATTTAAAATCGAATAGAACAATGAGTATATGAATTATTCATATTACCCTTCTTTAAGAGAATAAACTGTTCGCAGAACCCTCCTCTATGTCGATGCGTTAAACAGGGAAATATTCTTGCAAAATCTTTCGATATTTTTAATACGTTGTTGCTTACGGACAAAAAAATTTTGAAATCTTATTTTTATCAGTTACAATTCATTCATATATTTAGTTAATAACTGTTAATCAGTTTTTTTGTTATTGTATTTAATGTGGAATGTTCCTCCTGACGAAAATCAAGTAGTTATTTCATAAAAGAGCTCTAAAACAACGCATTTTCTTTAAAAAATTATTTAAATACTCAAAAAAAGAGGAATGAAATAATGCATTCAACATTTAAAGGGATTCGTTTCTATTTCACCATTTGGCAACATCGGTTATAGCTAATAAAGGACAATGAATTTGCCACTGGTACCCGTGTTTTGGATTTGAATGAAACATACTTACGCAATCAAAATGTTGTGGGTAGCTAGGAATGAATCTATGATATGTTCCTGTACAAGTTCTGTAATCTGTGCTTTTTGAAGCAAGCAGAGGAATACCATAATCTACGTGACTCTGGGAATTTGAAGTACAAATAAATGGGGCCATTTTCATTTTATCTACTTAAATCATATCACGTCACTTTTGGTGGTTAGCTACAATGAAACTGACATAAACAGACATCTGGGTATCGATCAAATAAATTCCAGTCTAATGGTGAATTTATGTATTGTCGATTAGCAAAAGTAGCAAGTAACAATTAGGAAGTGACAATTATCGATTATGAGTTGATTCTCACTTTCTCATGGATACGTTTATGCATAAAAAATAGCATTTATCGAGTAATAAGTGACGAGTTGAAGTTTGCCAACTTTCTTCCTACAATTGTACCAAATTTCTCACTAGTAGGGGAGACCGGGGTTGGAAGTAACATTTTTGTCTTTTGCATTTTTAGTGTCACTTTTTATAAATTATCAATGAAATTTTTTCATCAATGGATAATGTTTTTATACTCATTTGGAAAAGAATATTTTTTTCTCTCTAACATCATCCATAGAGAAAATATAACAATTCTAATGGAAAAGAAAAAGTGTGACTTTTAAACCCAGGCCGGGGATGGTTGTCACAGTATCTGCCGGCAAGTAGTCACATAGGTAATGAGGGTTATAAAAACACTCAAATAAATATTTTTATTCAAAATGGAATAATATACGTAATCAATTATATCCAAAACGAGAAAAAAATTCTCATTTGTAGAAAAAAACGTATTTGCTCCAAATAAACAACTTCCTTCTGGTAACTAAAATACCAAAAATATCCATCAGATCGCAATGCTTGTAAACTAAAAACACCCATACTAGCGAAATTATATTTAGTAGACATTTCTATGATTTTTTCTGAAAAAAATAAAATTGTATGTAGCAGAAGCTCGAAAAGCCAACCGTTGAGTTAAGACAACCAGCCCCCGTCAAGTTAAGACAACCCGCCCCCGTCTAGTTAAGACAACCAGCCTCCGTCAAGTTAAGACAACCAGCCCCAAAACACATTTTAAGATATAACCCCCTGAAATAACTCTGAATCGATATTCATTCATAAAAACGGATAGTGATATCGTGAACCACATATTTCACATTGAAAATACATGAAATGATATATACCTACGAAAAATTCTAGTATACTTATGAGACTCGACACATGCACAAATATTTAATTTTGCTGTCCGAAAAAAAAACAAATGTACGTATCCCCCTCACACAGTATGAGAGTGAACTGAAGTGACGTTAGGATTTAGGATACAGATATTGCTCTCGCGATCCTTCGATTTTGTTCGATAAACTCTTTCGTTCGTTCAATTTTCCAATATGGCCGCTGTGACAACCAATCCGTGAGACAACCATACCCGGTCTCCCCTACCTTTGTATATAGACTACTATATACAATGCTAGTACCTTTGTATAGGGATATACTATATACAATGCTAGTACACAGTGCGCAAATGGTCGCTGATTGACCTATTTCAAAATAGACAGTAGTTAGAAGTGAGTGATAACCTAATAATTTTCGAATTTCAAAACATTGTAGGCTGTGTTCTGTTTAGTTTCATCGTTTCTTGAATAATTTGTTTCTGTAATCGCTGAAATGTGTTAAAAATACACAATTTCTAATATATATACAATAGTCAGTATTACAGATTTATTTTCTCCCGATAGAAGAATAAAACACTTGAAGAATATTAACTTCAGTGACTTAAAAGTTCAAATATTCACCAATATCAATATTATTACCATAGCTCTTTACTGAGTACTCCAGCAAATAATTCTTTGACAATGACATGTCTTTGATATTACATTAGGTTACAAGGCCATGTCGCGATGTTACACCATGATGGCACTTTGTTATGTCGCACGATATATGTTTTGGACATTTACGGTATTACGCTGAGAAATGGTACAACAACGACTGAGGGTACAAATATAGATGAGGTAGAGTCCAGTGGACACCTCTCTGACCTCAGCTGAGCTCACTGGAAAAATGTATATACTGAGATAGCGAACTGATGATTTTGAAGGCTATAGGTGGGCTCTTCTAAACGATGGATGAATCCCGACGTGAATAGAAGAGTTGGATAAAAAATTATTAACACCGATTACGAAAGTTAAAACATTATTTATAATCCGTCACTTTTCGGTATCTATGTCTGAAAGAGACTGATCCGTGCCATGAAGTAAGTGTGTAAAAATTTACAAAAGATTAGTGTGAAGTTAGCTACACGGTCTTTTAGCATTTAACTGTGGCCTTTCCATCCACAGTTTCCGACGGGCACGTTGATGATGTTGGGGTGGAGGAAAAAACGTGAACAGTGTTGCCAACTGCGAACTGTGGAGCAACGAATTCTTGCGAACGCCCTTCTTACGAAAAGATGCGATGCACATCGTCCATTGCTGAGTATTCGTCCGGTTTCGTATTAAGTGAGATGGTTCTTCGGAACGGGTTTTTTCATTATTTTGATGAAAAATTTTCGCTATGGAATTATCACTTTCAATTCATCGTCGTATCAGGCACAAGCGATGTGAACGCAAGACGGAAAATGTGGGTGAATCCCATTCACGCAAAAAGAAAGGAGCTCGGTGAATTATCTCATTGATGGCATGATTTTCAAATCGATGATTCGTAAAGTTCAATTTCATCAAATTAAATTCATAATAAGAAGTCTGCATATTAATGACTCCACTATATACGGTCTATAACAATTTATTTCATGGTTTTCGTTATATGTTCATTACTTCAATCTTACATAATAAATAATAGAAAAACATACCTTTTATCGTCAATTGGAAATCGAAAAAAATGAATGCCGACATCACCCTGCAAATTACAGCAATGCACAGCTCGACACTTGTTCATTTTGAAACTAAATACAAATTCAACACAAATACAAAACCACCACTTACAACGACTCACTCTGTAATAATAGTTCATGCCTCAACCTGGCTCACTTGGTAATGGCATCAGATTCAGTCGGTTGTGCTATAGGTCGATTAAGCATACAATTCGAGGTGGGGAATCTTGACCCAAATATGGCGGAGAGTGAACTTACTTGTGTTTACTTCTATACCCTGTCGCAGCACAGCATATTATGCTGTGGTCGCAGCTTCAGCTTTCCGCTTCCAGTGGACGAGAGGCCTGATGCTGAATAGGACGACTTCACACGAAGATCAGTTGACATGAAACAAGCGTTTTTTTGTAAAATATATACACGCATAAATTAACAAACAGATGAACTGATAGTCAGCAATGCTCTTTGAATGCAGAATTCGATTACTAAAAAATGTATATGTTTGAAACTATATTAAATTGCAATGAGTTATCCAGTTCAATTATATAGTGTGTTTCAGCATAACCTTACTAGTTAGCAGACTAAATCATCAAATTGACGAGACATACCGTACAAGTTCGATACGAATTTTTGGGAGAAAATACTTTTGTACTATAAGATTGATTAATTGGTAGGTGTATAGTCAGATACAAACGTCATTTTTACTGTTTTTTGGGTAGGTATATTACCTTCCACAATCTGAAAAATAAATAAATAAATAAATCAAAAGAGAATCTGCTAAAGTGTAATAAAAAGCAAATTGGAAACTTCACCTCGAAAAATTACTACATAATATAAAATACTGAAGAGAGTCTAATCAGTTTAGTTATTTTTATTACTCTGTAACTTTTTGGGGTGGACTTTTCAGTTTGTTTTTTATTACACTTCAGCAGATTTTCTATTGATTCAGCTTTGTAAATTTTTCAGATTGTGAAAGGTTATATACCCAAAGACAATAAGAAATATTGAGCCTTTGACAAAAAAATTACTTTCAAAGAATAAAACCGTACGTAAAAAATGATAATACATCATTTTCCAGGTAATTAATCACTGTCAAAATTTCTCATCAGTAGCAGTCATCGACATAAAGGTGGTAGCGGTCAAGGGGTAGTGATTTTTAGAACATAACTTTTATCAATCATCTGTTCAAATATTCCAAATTCAGATCGATCACCTGCCATTTGTCACTCTCACCACAATTAGTGGTGTTTTCTGGCGTTTAATCGTATTCCAGAATACACGAAAAACGATTCATGTATTCAATTTTCTCTAACCTCTAACGAGGCTAAACCGCCCAGTGCGTATCAACGTTGCCAAGTGTACCCAGTTCGTATTTCGCGGGAATATCGAAATGTAACTCAGGAACTACGCTAATTAAAACGACTTTATAAAAATAAAGACTTTACCGCCAAACAAAAAACATACATATCGAAATGGTAATAATCAACAATATTGGTGGTCACTTATAGCTTGAACTGATTTGTACAAAAATACATCTTCAGGAGCATGTAATAGGTTTTCTGAATTCTCTCTTTACACTTAATAATCAAATTAGTACTCACTTGTACTCCTGTTGCACTTGTAATACACTATTTCACCCATAGTGCTAGCATTCCTATTTTTNAGCTTTTTTTAATATTTCAATTTTCATTTGTTTGGTTGTTGCTTGTATGTTATTTCTTTGTAATTTCTGTTTGATAAAATTGTTATTTTCAGTTAATCTTATCAATTTTTTAACTGTTTTTTTCAGGGTTTTCAAATCAATTTATATTATATTAGACAATGGAAGTCCGAACTGATAAAATATACCATATGTTATCTTTGTGGCAATATTTTGTTTTTCAGTTTTTGGCAATCTAATATGTTGTATATCAAGCTCATGATCCTAATGTTTTTTTTTTCACTCTGCCAGAATTTTGTTGTTTTCGCTTGTGCAAGAACTATTTATGTTACAAGATCCCTGGCTCTTCAACAATCTACGTCTTCGATCATTGTTGTCACTGAGGATATAACCTACGACAGAGAGATTTTTTTATTTTATCTCACCTTTCATCAAATTGTACTTATATAGGGTAATATTTATTTTGATTTTTGAAATATAGGTACCCTCTCTCAGCAGTACCATATCCATGTAGCATCTCTGTATCCAATCTCTATACCTTTACACTCAATAATCAAATTAGTACTCACTTGTACTCCTGTTGCACTTGTAATAAATACACTATTTCACCAATAGTACTAGCATTCCTACTTTTCAAAACATAGGAGCAATTGTTAATTGTTTCAGTATTTGATTTCCAAATTTCAAAATCTGAAATAAATAAAAATAAATTTCAAAATAGTGTTATTCTGATTTTAGAATCAACAAACCATTTTTATTTTTATTAGAAAAATACTCTCCAAAATGTCTTGTGACTTCATTGTTGTACATATAACTCAAAGCATTATCCAAAGCTGAAACAAAGTTTAATTCAAAAGTTTCTTCTTGCAATATTATCAGTATTTTGTAAATTTCTGAACACTTGTCCTTAGTGGAAACTTTATTCAAATTGCTCTACCAAGCTCTGTCAACATGCCAGGAGCAAAATAAGTGTGGATAAGGCGGTCCCATCACCCCATACCATGCATTAAAAAACACCTCAGCCATATCTGACATGAAAAATTTACAATGAATAACTCCTGAAATAAAACAACTATAAGTACCAACCAACACCAAAACAAATTAATGTAATATTGTACATACCTATGGTGTCCTTGATTGCTGAAAAAAATACATTCTGCACTATGGTATCTTTTGTATTCGTGAACATTTCAGCTACTGAACAACCATGGTGATATTCATCTAAGACCATAATGGTTGTCATTTTAAAATCATAGTCATTTAGGCCATGGGTACTATCAATGGTAATTGTAGATGGAAACTGTTTCATCATTTGTCTTTGAAATGTATTCATTATTATCAAGCAAAANAAACGCTACCGAATTACAAACACTTGACTCTGCATGGCGATTACTGATAAATACTGACAAATCTCAATTCTCAGACGACGCCGTATTATTTTGACAAGAAGTGAAAAAACTGAAAATAAGTAACGGATTTTCAATGTTCAATATTTTGAGTTGTTTTGCTTTTAACAAATTATCTCTTCCACACTCCTCGACTAATGTATAAAGAGTATTATCTTCTATAAATTTAATGAAAACTAATCAAAGAAACAAATTAAACACAGAAAGTATTATAGGAGTATTACATACTAAGAAATACCTATATAGGTAATATATAATTTTTCCATTGATGAAAAAATAATGTCTTATATGAACAAGTAATATTTGTATAATTCATCAACTGAAAATTAGATTTGGTACCTACTTGCCATAGGTATCTGACTTATTTCGAAATGTGTTATTTTTGTACGTTTTTTTAATAAAAAAATGTTTATTTTTTGTTCAATAAATTTGTTTTTGATAATTGATGTCTGTAAATCTACCGATTTTTTACGATCGGTTCTACCGACTTTGGAATCTATAGGTTGGCAATACTATTGATTACTATTCTGTGCTTCTACCTCACTCTTTGTCTCGAAATTATTAAAATACAAAATCGTGAATTACCAACTTTTAAATTTTGACAATAGTGAGGTTAGAAGGTGATTTCTTGAAAAAACTCAATATTCTATCAAGCTTCATAATATTTTAGATGGATAGTCAGGTCTCCATTGAAGGATATTTTGTGGATCTAATTGATGATACTTGGCGGACAGATTCTCTTCCTGAAGACGATATTACAGTTCCTACATGGGAACTTTCTGATCCAGAGGCTGATTCCGGAGACGTTCATCTTACTCTGAAAGAACAAGAACAGAAGTGGAGTGATATTATGCTCTCTTCTATAAGTGAACATCAATAAAGGTATTTTTCAAAATGGAATTACCAAAAATTGGTAAGCAGTGTGCACAGTCTGAATGCAACCAATTAGACTTTCTTCCTCTCCAGTGTAAATGTGGTAAAACTTTTTGTTCAGAGCACTTTTATCTTCATGTTCAGGCATGTGAAACATCAAAAATTGTCACAGATGATGAACTGACGAAAATTGGACAGTTATTTATTTGTTCATCTGAGGGATGTAGTGAAAAGAGTATAATCCCCCTAATATGTGAGAAATGTGGAAAGCACTTTTGTGTTAAGCATCGTCATTTGACAGAATGTGAACCAACCGATGCAGATACATTAGCAAAGGAAAGGGAAAAATATGCTAAACCTGTTAGGATGTTTAATGAAGCCAAAGCTGTAGTGGATCAAGAGGTTAGTTTCTCATGTTTGGTTGTAGGTCATTTTATTAGTCTTATCAGTGCACATATTCTCCCACATAGTATAAAAATACATACTCACAAAAAAGACTATACTATAGAATAATATTGGATGTAAATGTACATTTCCTTACAAAGGATACAGTAAAAGAAATATTTTGAATGTATTTTGTAAAAAATTTGTAGTTGAGGAAGTTCTGCCATATATTGATTCACAGAATGCCATGCTTTCAACATTAAGTATATTTTTACTTTTTTATCAATTTCTTTGTCTTGAATTGTAGGTAATAAATATGTACATTCATTGAATTTTTCATTGATTTTGTATTTTGCAAGGTTGGTTTGAACATCATGGAAAAAATAAAACTTTTTCATCTCTTAATTCCTTTTCGTAGTTCACTGTTTTCCAGAAAAAATAAAATAGAAACCATTTTATGGCATGTCCCTTGATCACACAATAATTAGTTTTCTTATTGCTGTGTAAATCTGACATGAAGTAAAATATTTTAAAATCAGGTGTATCTAGATACTGTTAGAAAAGACAACCCTTCGCCAAAATCATGCATTGCTTCTTCTTTAAAATGAGTACTGATCACTCTGAAATATTCTGGATGTATTTCAAATTGTGTAGCATCCAGCGATTACGCAATTCAGATTGTCTTCTTTTGCCGTAGGGGTAGTGTAGACTAAGGATTTCATATGTCCCCAGGGGCCTTATTTTGTCAGGTGAACCCTCACATTGAGAGAAAAATCGGATGTATATCTCTGATTTCAAAATAAAACCGAGAGAAACATCAGATTTTCTCTCAATGTGTAGCTTGGTAGGTTTTTCACCTCTGAAATTTCATATTTCATACTTAGATATTGTGGCACTGCACTTATCTTAGATGCACAATTTATGAATTACTGCAATGAAAATTTATTATTAATTTGTCAATTTTGGCACTGCAATATCTCAATCAATATTGTGATTGAAAATATGCTTGTGTAACTGAAGTAACTTACTACCTTAATTTTCCTCACTTTGAGATATTCAACAATATATTTTTTTCTTTTTTCCAGAATGGGGAGTGTTCCTCAATTTGGGTTGTTACAGCAAATGCAACTTTGAACAAAATAAAGTTGAGTTTAATTCATGAGTTTTTCAAATTCACTTCGAAAAGTATTCCAATTGATGTTTCAAATTTTTAAAGGGATTTGTTTTTAATTCACATATTGGCAACTGCGCCTAGAAATAATTGAAATAATTTATACATACTTAGATATTCTACTTTAAAAAAAGGAAAATTATCTTTATAGATCAACAATTAAGGCAAAATATAAATTATAGTTCAATACCACCTCCACAAGCCACATAAACAACAGTTGTATTGTTATTTATTTATATAGAGGAAGATAGGTTAGGTGCACAAAATGTAATATGTCACAGAATGTCTGGGAACTCAGAACATAAGTAAACAGAACCACACCCCTCTGAAATATGTCATCTTTTTTTGTCTCATTCAGGTAACAGATTCATGGTCCTTTATTAGCTATAACCGATGTTGCCAAATGGTGAAATAGAAACGAATCCCTTTAAATGTTGAATGCATTATTTCATTCCTCTTTTTTAAGTATTTAAATGATTTTTCAAAGAAAAGGGTTGAAATGATAAGTTTAAAATGCCTTGTTTAAGAGCTATTTTATGAGAACTACTTGATTTTCGTCAGGAGGAATATTCCCCATTACTATCTCTTCATCATGGCTTTACTTAAATATTTTCAAAACATCCATATCCATAACATATACCATAGGGATCTTTAATATTAATAAATTATACTAGAGTACCAATGATATCTTATTTACAGTTATGACTTTATGGTTTTCAGGTAGAAAAAAAGATAGATGATGCAAAGAAAAAGACCAAAAGTAGGGAAATGGCTAGCAAACTTCAACTCATGAAAATCAAAAATAAAGCCACTGGACTTAAGTCTATACCAGTTGCGAACAGAATATATTTCAATGTATTTCACTCAGAAAAAGCTAGCCCCATTTTCGTTTCAAGTCAGTGGACAGTTGGACGGGCTATTGATGCTATAGCACAAGAAATGAATCTACAGAATAACAATAATAAAAGCACCGAGAAAAAACTTAGGCTGTTCAAAAAATGTGACAATCAAATTATCTCACAAAATGTGTCTTCTGTGTTGAAAAGTTTGCTAGAAAGTAAATTTATCCTGGATGGAGATAGTTTAGTTATTGAATATGTGGATGATGACTGTGTAAAATTGTGATTTTTGGAATCCTAGTAATAAAGTTTTTTTTTTAAAAACAACGGAAGTTTTTTCCCAACACCAAACCGTTGAAAGCACTTTTACGAATTGTGGGATATTCAACCGAAATAACGAAGACATTTGGAGCATAAAAAACCCCAGGCAGTTCCTCGACTTCAAGTGCGATTTAGTATTAACATGTGGGCAGGAATTTACAAAGATTAAATTTTGGGTCCTCATTTATTTAATGGAATTCTGAATGGAGAAACCTATCACCAGTTTTTAATGTCGATTTTCAAAGACTATTTGGATGATCTACCTTTGACTAACTATAACATCTGGTGTCAACGTGATGGGGCTCCACCGCACATTACCTGCGTATCTAATTACCTGACTGAAAGGTTTGTTGATAAATAGATAGGAAATAATGGGCCGGTGAAGTGGCGAGAAAGGTCTCCAGACTCAAGTGTTATGGTTAAATTCTTATGGGGTACACTGAAAAATAGAGTTTTTAGTCAGAGGGAATATCAAAATATTGAGGACCTTCAACACAGAGAGTTAGAGTGTTCGGAAGATCGAGGAGGAGGGAAGTTAATCGTTCAGTGAATAATATTCGAAGAAGGACACAGTTGTGTTATGAACAAGGCCAGTATTTTGAGTATTGCCTGTGATTTACTTCTGTCTTTATACATTTTAGTTGATTATTGTTATTTGTTCAAAGTTCTATTTTCATTGAATAGGGCACAATGTCTAATTTACCTCATACACACCTCATTTATCAAATCTTGATTGTTGATTCTGTCTCCGTATTTTTTTATTGGCTTCTCCAACGAATCAAACTCGGTGAGATTTTGATCCAATAACTTGAACATATTTTGATAAAGGTTGTCGTCTTTCGGGATACAAGTTTAAATACATTTCCGATGTCCTAACACTGTTTCTATCGTATTTGTAATAAATTTGTATCGTATCTCTTTTTTCTTCATTCGTGAAAGCCATTTTTCGCCAAAAATTCAATGACTTGTACATTAATAAAATGTCATTGAGTGTAACAAATTAAAAGTAAATTTGGAAACATCAAAGTCAAAACCTATTATGATAACAATTAATTTTTTTCAATATCTTCAATTTTTCGAAAAAGAATGATAACTTATGATACATCATTGAAAAGGTGAAATCGGGTTCTATTCGAAGTAGAAAAATTTCAATGTAGCGCCCATAAGAAAAAATGAAGTTGACGATGGTGTCCGGAAGACGAAACGTCGGATAGCAAATCTGAAAACACCATTATATAGCTGGGAAAAAGGAGCATTGTGGAAGTACAATTTATTTTCGAATCCTTCGAAAAATAAAGCCAGAAAAAAATGAAAACCACTTCCCGAAATTTCTGTTTTTTCCGGATACCTTCGGATATACTCGGAATTTCAGAACTTTCTCAACGGCATATTGTTAGTCAGGTAAATGCGCAACTTTGCCCCAGTTTAACCATCTTTGTATCTCTCACAGTTTCCGAGGTCCCAATGGTGAGGAGCTTATTACCATGATGTTAAGCGATGGGTGCCCCACGATTTGATCGATCGACACAACCACGTTTCGAGATCTGCTCTTCGTTGCTTTTGCGCAACAAAAATTACCCATTTTTGGGTCGAATTGGCACATGTGAATGAAAAGTGGATGCTCTACATTCTCTACAACAGGAGACGTTTAGGACAGTGATTTGACACTGATGAGCCACCCAGGCACTTCCCACCAAAAAGAGAACATGCTGGTTACTGTATAGTGGCCAGCGGCTGATATGATTCACTATAACTTTCTGCAACTGGACCAAACAATTACAGCAGATTTCTATTGTGAGGAAATTGACGAAATGTACCGAAAATTGAAAAGTAGTTGGCACTGGTCAACAGAAGAGGTTCCATTCCGCTCCACAACAACGCCCGTTTGACAAATCACCGTCCGAAAATTAAACAAATACCCTCAGATCAAAGTAAAACTAACAATGAAAAAGTGGCTTTCCTAACTGAAACCACTCTTGCTTCAAACAATGAAGAAATGGCATGTTTAACTGAAACTGCTCTTGCAGCTGTTAACAATGACTCATGTGTATATTGTGTAGATAGTGCTTGCACTACTCATCTCACCAATTCAAAAGAAAATTTGAGTGACATTGTAAAAACTGTGACCAACATCTCTAGTGCAAAGAAAGGTGTTGCTATGAAATCTTCAGCTAGTGGAGATGTATATTCAGAAGAACTGATACTCAAAAATGTGTGATAAGTTCCTGATCTCACCAAAAACCTGCTATCTGTAACATGTGTAGTTGATAACGGTGAAGAAGTGAGATTCAAGAAAGGAAGAGTAGATATTTTGAAAGATGATAAAATTGTAACAGGCACACAAACAGAAAATGGATTGTTTGTTGTGAATCTAAGAAAACGAGCAGAAGCCAATGTTGCAAATAAAAATGAAATAATGGAATGGTACCGTAAATTGGGTCATGTTGGTCTTTCAAATCTCAAGAAAATCCCTGCTTTGTGTCGGGGAGTGCCAGAACACATAACCAAATGTGAAGATGAAGTGATATGTGAAATATGTGCTGTTGCTAATATGAAAAGAAACCCTTTCAACACCAAGAGACAAAGAGCAACAAGATGTCTACATCTTGGTACAGATACAGAAGATGTAAACCAAGACAATGAAGATGAAAATGATGTTGAAATATTAAATCAAAATCCAAACCAAAGATCACAAAGAAATAGAAGACTTCCTGCAAGATTTAAAGATTATGAAATGCTTGCTGAGGAATCTCCCATTACCTATGAAGACTGTATGAAGAGTGACCATCGTGCAGAATGGATAAATGCCATTAATGAAGAAAAAAGAATGTCTGAAAAGAAACCAAACGTGGGATCTTGTAAACCCACAAGAAGCCAAAGGAAAAAAATAGTTACTAGTATGTGGCTATTTAAAATTGAAGACAGTGGTCAGTTCAAAGCAAGAATCGTTGCAAGAGGATGCCAGCAGAAAAATGGACTTGATTACACAGACATTTTTAGTTCTGTCATTCATGCTAACTCTCTCAGAATGCTTTTGGCTATCGCTGCAACTGAAGATTTAGAAATGATGTCATTTGACATAAAGTCAGCCTTCCTGTATGGTGATTAACAACAAGTCATATACATGCATTTGCCTGAAGATTTTGAAACAGGTGGAAAAATTTGAAAGTTGAAAAAGACACTTTATGGTCTGAAGCAAGCACCTCAACAATGGTTCAAACGTTTAACTGATTTTCTCAAGAAAGAGAGGATTTTCCAGCTGAACACTGATCAATGTGTATTTAAATCGAATAAAAACAAATTATTTGTTGGTATTCATGTGGATGATGGTATTGTGATTGGTGATAAGTCTGAAGTTGTGAAGCTCATGAATAAGTTGAAGCAAACTTTTGAAACCAAAGTTAATGAAAACCCTGAAGTTTATCTGGGTATGCTCAAGAAAACTGTCCATCAAGCAAATTATGTGACTCATGTGCTGAACCTCTACAGTATGAAATCAGCCAAACCTACAAAAACCCCTATATATAATCAAGCTGACAAGAATTTCTCCAAAAGCAAATCTGATTTTCCCTATCAAAAAAGTTGGAAGTTTATTGTATCTTTCCTGTCCAGGAGGCCCGGTAGTCCTTACAATAACCGTTAGCGAACTAAATCAAAGTCGCCAACCCTTTCGACCATGGACAAATCAAACAGAAAGATCGGCGGAAAGAGGTCGCATAGTCGTTCGATTGGGTCAGCGCCAAGATCTCGTTCAAGAAGTGATGAACGGAAGGATAAGTGTTCTGATATCAGGTCACGAAGCAACTATAGGCGTAGTTGCCGTACCCCTGTATTTACTGCGGCCAGCAGTAAGTACGGAACTTCGCGCTCATATCATAGTCGCAGCAGCAGTTCACGCAGTAGGAGTAGATCTATGTCGAGTTGTGGAAGTGACCAGCTGTCCAGGAGGTCCAGTAGTCCTTCCAATAACCGTTCGCTAACTGAATTAAAGTCGCCAACCCTTTCGACCATGGACAAATCAAACAGAAAGATCGGCGGGAAGAGATCACATAGTCGTTCGAGTGGGTCGGCGCCAAGATCTCGTTCAAGAAGTGATGAATGGAAGGATAAGTGTTTTGATATCAGGTCACGAAGCAACTATAAGCGTAGTTTTAGTCGGTCAAGATCGGAGTCCAAATGATAGTATCGTTCTGTCAAACGATCCCGTTCTAAATCTGAGTCGTAAGCGTCAAACAGATGGTTTCAACCGGGCCTGAATTTTTTTCGTCATGGTTGTGGAAACTGTCAATATCAGATTGAATACATAGAGAGAATATTTATTTCAATTATGTGTTTTGAAAGTTAACTGATTTTATTATGAATATATATACTTGAATTTCAGTACGTTTTATTTTTTTATGATCCAACTTCAATAACGGATTTTGTGCTACATGTTTTGACGTTTGTTGTTACTTCTCAGAGCTTGACAATTCATTACCTTATTATTACTTATCGGCCGTATAAGCAACCGCATATGGCTCTGAATTGAATATTTTTTCAAATGTATTAAAACATGAACTAAGTGAACTAAGTTCAATATTTCTGCGTGCTGCCAGCTCAGGCGTATTACTTGGTAATGAAAGGTAAACACTAGGTATTTTATTTCAAGGAAGGTTTTGAGTTTCTAATTCTCCGTCTTTATAGAATGAATGAGATACACTTTGCTTTCTTTCTTCCTTTGGAAGATTTTTTTGTATAATATAAATGGAGATTTAGGAAGCCACAAACTTTTTCCCCTAAAGAAAAGTTAATAATTTTTATGATTATTTTATAATTGACCTATGTTATGGTTTGTATTCCCATCATCTGAACATTGTATTATACCTCCTGTTGAAGAGGTACAATTTTTGAATGTGTTGTTTCTTCACAAAACCTTGAACTTTTCGAGAAAATTTTAAACATTGTTTTTTGTTTTAACCGGCCATCGGATGCCTGCTTCCACGTAGCCCTGTTAGATACGG